GGGGAGGGGAGGGAAGGACTGGGAGTGTGGGATTAGCAGATGAAAATTAGTATATACAGGATGGATGAACAACAGGGTCCTACTGTAGAGCACAGGGAACTGCAGAAATTAACACAACATTGTAAATCAACTATACTTCCATAAAATGAAGAAAAAAAAGAAGTTTCATGAAAACGAGCTTAAACTTCAGTGTATTGTGAGCAAGTTAAAATCAGACACATTAGAGAATCTTAAACTGTATGGATCGTGGTTATTCTGCAGGTGAACCTATTGCTCTCGTATGATTACTTTTCAGAAGCTGACAATGAAGCTCTGTGAGAGAAAGTGCTCCGTCTTCCACAGTCAAATCGTGGCAGAGCTGGGACTGGATCACAGGTCTCTAGACTCTGGTCCTAGAACTACATCAAGTGTACCTCTGCCACGATTGCTACCAGAGCTTTCCAACCAGGATTTCAAAAATAGAAAAGAAAAATTTGTAAAAGTTCTCTGAAGACGTTCATAGAACAGGATGTACATGTTTACTAGTTTTGAGTAACTAACTGAGTTCTGGTATAGGTAAGCTATGGATTCCCTATAAAAACGCCTTCCTAGAAGATTACATAAAGCTGAGCGTACAGAATACAGCTTAAAAACCAAGGGTGTCTGAGAAGAGTCCCAGAGCCAGGTCCTTACTCTTTTAAAAGTCAGACTGCATGTCTATAGAGGAGCAGACGTTTAGACTTGACATGCTGCGTCCTACTTTTATGGCAGTGCAGGAATTAGACTGAGAGAAAAGGGGCCCTTGAGCTGGCAAACAAACCAAAAAAAATGACTCTATGTCTAGAAACAGGTTTCATACTCCAAAGCCCTCTGTCCATCCAGGATATCTTGTGTCTGTAATGTCAAAACTCGTATGAGAAAAGAATGTAGACAAAGCCCAGGAATCCGGCCGCCGCTTGGTTCCTACTTGCAGCTATGATAACTCCTATCTGTGTGATTAAAACAAATGTTTGAGAAATCCCAGTGAGGCCTCACTGATCAGACACCACTGAGCAAATATCAACAGCAGAACAAGATGACACAGTCCTATAAACCGTAAGAGCCATAACAAGACTTCAAAATTATTGATTTAATCGCTCAGCTACCCAGTTTTCATCCATACAAGGCAATATTGAATACGCAGCCAAATTCCCTTTTAATCATCTTTAAAAATCAAACATTTCACACGTCCTCAAGTGTTTATTCTATCACCTCACATACTTTTACCTAGACTTTCTTTATAGCGTGTCTATTTTTTTTAACATTTTAGCTTTATCCAATATTCTCACTTATTTTGTCCTTTTTTTTTTTTAACATGCTATAACAATTCTTTAATATTACAACCTTTTCCACTGCACTGTTGCTTCTTCCACCAAAGACGGATGTGGATCATGGCATCATTAAGCACAGATGTCAGTCAGCACTGAGGTTCTGTTGTAAACATACACATCTTGCCTTCCGCCCCCCCATAACTCTTTGCTGGATAAGAGTAAAGGAGAAAGTTTTAAAAAATCAACACCCTTATCTCTTCTGGAATAAGCAATATTTATCATCTCGAGCCTTTAGGAAGATTTTCCAGGAAATATGAACCATCACATTGACTCTCATTAGAACTCCACAAGGAACAGGAAGCCCCTCAATTACTGAATTATTGAATGGGGAAAAGACTACACTCACCGGTGAAGAGTTTTTTTCCCATTCATTCAACAATTTTTTATTACCCTTTATGCACGAACCCCTGTGTTTACAAAACTTAAATACTTTGAGTGATATATCTGCCAGAATCCTGCAATAAAAAAAAAAAATGCCATGCTCGATTTACGGTAATTTGAGGAAGATTTAATACAGGAATTATTAGCAAAGCGTGGGAAGCATCCAGAGAAATCACGTACACACAGGTACACACAATCAAGGCAGCACCCCAGGGCTAGGGACATCCAAATTGTTATCTGTGCCTAAATGGACGAGGGAAGAGAGCAGTTACTGAATCCTGATGGGAGGGTCCTGTAGAGAGACTGCCCTGTGAGGATAACATGGGTGCGGGGACGGAGCTCTCAGAGAGACCCAGGCAGCCCAAGCAGATCCTACAGGGAGGGGAATAAATGATCGAGCAAGGGACCTGGTTCTTCTCTCCTCAGTCCTGCTGCAGCCTCCCGTTGGCTGAACTCAACGGGCACTCAACGGGCTTGACAGAATCCACAATGCTCAACCTCCCAGCGCCCCGGGGCGAGGTGAATGGTGATGGAGAATGACTGCATCACTGGTCCCAGTGGCAACCCTCATTGTAACGACCTAACTTCATTGAAGTTAAGATGATCTTCATCTTGTTTTAGAGAAGAAAAAGCGAGGTCGGACACCCAGCTTTGGCTAAGTAGAATATTCTGTGTATTTTCTACTTTGCAGGAATGTGACATATTCTATTTCTGTATGACTATTTGCTAGTTTCTGTAGTCAGGTCTGTCGAAAAGGTAGGAAGGTTGATGCCTACATTCTGTGGTCTAGAAATTGAACAAATGCTCTGATGTGTACATTTAACATCTAGAGACCTGAAAATGAATCGTTCGGTGGACAGACTCTAAGGCAGCCTCATGACCCTTGCTTTCAAGTGTTCATGCCTTTGTGAAATCTGCTCCTATGGAGTGTGGCGGTAACTGTAACCTACTTCGATCCACAGAAACTGCAGAGGACGCTGTCTCTCCTGTGATGATGCTAAATAGTTACATGACAAAGGTGATGATGTCACTGCCATGATTATATTACTTGATATAAAACTGCCCTTCTAGCAGTCTCATGCCAAAGACTTTCTCTCTTGATGGCTTCGAAGGAAGAAGCTGTTGTGAGAAGGCCTGATGAGAGGGCCACATGACAAAGAACCATGGCAATCTCCCGGAGCTGAGAGCAGCCCTGGCAAACAGCCAGCAAGGAGCAAAGAACCTGGGTTCTACAACCACAGAGATGATCCTGCCAACGCACTGGGTTTGGTAGCAGATCCATCCCAGTCAAGCCTCCAGATGAGGATCCAGCTCTGACCAACACCTCGATTGCAGCTTTCCAGACAACCCAACTAAGCCAAGCCCAGATTCCTGCCCCACAGAACCTGTGAGATAATAAATGTGTATTGCTCTCAGCTACAAAGTTTGTGGTCATTTGTTACGCAGTCGTAGAAAACAAATACAAATAGGTATTTCATTTTTCTGTACTGTGTTATTTAATAACTCCTTAGAATACCCTCCCAAACTCCCTACAGCTTGGGGCTTGTGGCTCAGTCATTATTTTAGTCAACATCTGTGCAGGATTTACCATTTACAAACTAGTCTCATAAGTACTAAATCAACGGTTCATTAGGATAAGCTGTTGCAGTTAGTCTCAGATAAGAGACAGGACGCTGAATCTGCGAGGCCTGAATGGACTTACCCAAGGATAACCAACTAGTAGATGACACACTGTGGCTTTGGTCTCAGGACCTTGACTACAAATCCCAGGTTATTCCACTCTACCACAGTTGCCTTCCTTAATTTAGTCTTAGATAATTAAAACATAGTGGCAAATGAGCCACACTTTCTACCCTTCCACGGGCCAGTTATATTTGTTCTGTCTCCTATGATGGCAAAACACCTTTCCTTTACCTCAAAAACGCATATGTTACTGGCCCCCAGGCTCATAATACATACGCTAGTAGAAAGAAACCTCATGGAAAAGGGATTAAAAGACCTCCTCCTACTGATCATGGCTGCTCAGTAGCAGCATCCTTAGCTAAAATCGGGTTTTGAATTGCAGATAGGAGTATTATTATCACCAGCAGCAAAGACATAAAGCCAACATTAAAAACATTTTTTACAAGGTCTACCCAGGCTTAATTTTTTATTCCTTCAATAGCTTGGGGCGGGGGTGGTGGGGAAGGGCTTTGGCAGAACACTTACTTTATGATTAAGGCCCAAACTCTAAACCTTATTAGTAACCAGAGCAGATGGCAAAATTAGCTAATAGATTTTTTTTTTTAAATTGTTCTCTGTTGAAAGAAATATTTGGAAGTGATGGAAAGGACTTACAATTTATCTCTTTGTGAATGGCCAACGGTGGAATTCTAGCTGTGAGGTCTGTTGCTCGTTTGATCCAAAGGCCAGCTAAATGGGGCACACGGCAATCCCTTCTGAGATGGAGCAGAGCATTTTCTATAGTGGAGATCAAAGGCAGTAGCGCAACGAGTCATCAGAGTGGGCACCTGTAATAATATAAATGATGATTAAAGTGGTCCCACCCTGCATTTCCCATGATTCAATTTGAAGAGCTGTCATGGACGCTCTCCCCCATGCTGGTCTCTTTACTTAAACCTGTCAGTATCACTGAAGCTGTGGGAGCTTAAGAATCATTTTATAACAAATAAAGGATTGCTTCATGTTGGCCAAACATTTAATAGGCTTCTAGAAAATATCCTGTTTTAGTTCAGCTCAGAATTTGGCCCAAGATGAGAGGATTTTGTTTGATTGTTGGTTGCTTATTTTTCTGAACCTACATTTTAAATGACAGCAGGTTTGGAAATAAATGTGATTCAACCTTGGAAGGCTCTTGCTATGTGTCTGTGTGTCTTTTATCAGGGCCCTTGATTAGAAGGAAAAGAGAAAGGAGTCCTTTTTGTTCCATCTCGCCCTGTTATTATATTCATTATGAATCTTTCCCTTTCTTTCCGCCAATTAGGACCTGTCCCAATATGGCGGGACCTCCAGAGTACTAGCGCTGCCTTGCATGCGTGACTCTTTCCAGAAATCGCTTGGGCTTGAAATTCAATCCCCGCCCCCCTTTTTTAAAAGAAGAAAACACAGTTCAACTGAATTCCAAAGCATTTATATTCAGAGTTTCCATGACTCAAGGATCTATTATCAAGAGAAAATGAGAATGATTCTATTTTCACCTTTACCTAAACAAACAGGCTCATTGGCTGCCAAGATATTTGAGACTTACTGCTTGTCCTACAGAGGAGCCTCTTATCACAGTGTCAGTTCAGAAGGATAAAGCAAGAGTTGGACAGTCTAGACTTGGATTCTAATCCTAACTCCACCACATACTAGCTCTACCGGTGTCCATGTATTAAGGAACCTCTGTAAGTCTACTTCCTAGTCTGTACCAGAGTCATAAATGATCATGGCTTCTTGAGGCAATGGAAAGGGTTGAATGGATTGTCTGCAAGGCCCCAGCCCACCATCTGGAACATGGGGAGTCATTTAAAAGCACTATTATTTCAGGACTGATCACTGAATAGTTTTCTCTGGTTGCCTTTTGCAATTAGTTAGTTGTTCCATCCGCTTGACTGGCCCTCAGTCTTGTTTGATTAGCTCCACACCAAACATGTTCAAGTTCTACCTACACAGAACCAAAGATGTGAAGAGCTGAAAAAGTACCTGTTTATTCTGGTCATAAATTTGCTTTGGAACTTAGGTTTACGTGTATTGATCTCACTACATTTACCTTCAAAATAGTACTGAGGATTGCTATCAGGGTAGAGGAGCAATTTGGTAGACAACTGTGTTCCTTCTTAAAGAGTGGCTCTACAAAGCACGTGGGTCATAAAGCATTCAGTGCATGTTTGCTCATGAAATGAGCAAATAACTGAAGTGATGACAATTAATAATTACGGTGACCAGTACATTAAATCTTTCGTTAAAAGTATTCTGCAATTAATCATTTAAATTCCCTAGCCTTTTGTTTTTAATTTTATCACTCAGAGACCAACAAATTGTCACTCCCAGGACATTATTGCTATTTCTGTTGAAATCTGGGGAAAGTTGCCATCTGTATCATACTGCTTCTTCTAATGAATGCACTTCTTATACCTTTCCATTCATGCAGATCTTCTTTATTATCTTTCAACCACGTTTAAAATTTTGCTCTTACACATTATTCTATTTACTCTTGCGAACTTGATATTTTTTTGCCTAAGTTGTAAAATATTGTTTGTTAAATATACTTTTTATTCTGAAATAATTCTAGACTTACCAAAAAGTTGCAAAGATAGTACAGAGAGTTCCCATACACCCTTCACCCGGTATGTTTCTCCTAATGCTATCACCTTACATTTCTGTGGTACATTGGTCAAAGCTAAGAAACCAACATTGGAACATCACCATTGACTAGACTCCAGACTTTATTCAGATTTCAGCAGGCTCCTTTTTTTTTTTTTTATTAGTAACGTTCTTGTTCTGTTCCAAGATCTTACCCAGGATACCATATTGCATTTAGTTGTCATGTCCCCTTACATATACTTTATTTTTTTTTCTTGCGGTACGCGGGCCTTTCACTGCTGTGGCCTCTCCCGTTGCGGAGCACAGGCTCCGGACGTGCAGGCTCAGCGGCCATGGCTCACGGGCCCAGCCGCTCTGCGGCATGTGGGATCTTCCCGGACCGGGGCACGAACCCGCGTCCCCTGCATCGGCAGGCAGACTCTCAACCACTGCGCCACCAGGGAAACCCCCTTACATATACTTTTAAAAATATATAAATATCATAAGTATTTTTACATAATATACATAACATACATAATATACATAATAAATAAATTTGTACATAATATACATAAGTGTTAAATTTTGCCATGTGTTTTATCTCTATGAATTGATACGATCAGGTGATTTTTCTTCTTTAGCTGTTGATATGGTAGGTTGCATTGATTGATTTTCAAATATTTAACTAGCATTGTGTAACTGGAATAAAGCCCTCTGGGCCATAGTGCATACTCTTAACATATATTTTGCTGGATTCAAGTTGCTAATACTTTGTTTAGAAATTTTACAGCTAAGTTTATATGAGATATTGTCTATAGCTTTTCTCTTTTGTAACGTCTTTGTCTAGTTGTGATATCAAGGTAGTTTTGCCCTCATTCAATGAGTTGGAAAGTACTTCTTCATCTTGTATTTTCTGAAAGAGGTTGTAAAGAATTGTGCTAACTCTTCTTTAATTGTTTGAGAGATCTCTAAATATGGGACTGACCTGGATCTGGGTCACAGAGCCTTGATTCCTTTCTACCTACATTCTGCTCTTAGGAAATTTAATTTTTGTTCCTTTTAAAATACCTTTCACCTGCCAATAAATCCCAAATTTATATCTCCAACTCAAGATTGCTCTACTGAGCTCCAAACTTATAAACAATTGCCCTTCAGTATTGGTGGAGGATTGGCTCCAGAAGCCTCCACAGATACCAAAATCCACGATGCTCAAGTTCATTATGTAAAATGGAGTAGTATTTACATACAACTTACGCACCTCTTCCCGTATACTTCAAATCGTGTCTAGATAACTTAGAATACCTAATGCGAAGTAAAAGCTATATAAATGGTTGCTGGAATGTGGCAAATTCAAGTTTTGCTTTTTGGAACATTCTGGAATTTTTTTGAAAAAATAGTTCTGATCTGCAGTTGGTTGAATGCACAGGTGCAGTACCCATGGATACAGAGTGCCCACTGTATACAACTTTCCCCTTTGATATCTCTACTACAACTAGAATAGAACTCTTAATCCCTGTCTACTCCATTCTGATAGCCTATTCCTCCCCAGATGAGAAAATAACCATCTTAGTAAAACCATTTGACTAAGCCAAAATCGTCTGAGGAGTTCTTTCATACCATCACACACTGTATTCAGTATACTACATAATTCTGTTGATTCTACCTTCAGGATACATCTTGAAATCTGTCCCTTTCATAATCTCTACCGTGACCAGCCTAGTCTAAGCTGCTAACATTTGTTGCCAGCTGGTCTCTCTCTTGCTACGCTCCCCAAACCAAATGATTGTTTATTCACATCACAGCCAGACTGACATCTTTAAAGTATAAATTAGACCACGTCGACTCCCCTTTTGAATAACATTCCATTACACGTAGAATAAATCAAAACTTCTGAACCACAGTGCAACATATTTTCATAAACAGGACGCTGGCCTCATTTTCAACTAGTCCCTAGGTTAGGCTCCTGGATTCGTCTGTTAGAGCTCCCCTAACACAATACCATGGACTGGGTGGCTTAAAGCAACAGAAATTTATTTTCTCACAGTTTTGGAGGCTAGAAGTCGAAGATCAAAGTGTCAGCAGGTTGGGTTTCTTCCTGCCGTGCAGACTGCTACGTTCTCACTGTGTCCTCATGGAACCTCTTCTGTGTCCACATGGAGAGAGAGACATCTCTGGTGTCATTTCTCTTCTTAGAAGACAGTCCTATCAGATTAGAGACCCAGCCTTATGACCTCAGTTAACTTTAATTTCCTCTTGAAAAGCACTATCTCCAAATACAGTCACATCGAGGGTTAGGGCTTCAACGCATGGCATTTTTTTTTTTAGTTGGGGAGTGGGACGGAAGTACATAACTCCATCCATAGCACTACCTAATCTCACTCTCTAGAATCTAGGTATACAGGCTCCCTTCTACACATAAAGGACACCGAGCTCATGTCGGTCTTAAGGCCGTTACTGCAATTCCCTTCGTCGGGAGCGGTCTTCCCCTAAGTCCACATGTGTGGATGATTCTTGTCTTTTCTGTCTCAACTCAGATGTGACCTCCTCAGAGAGTCATGTCCTAATAACCCAATCTAAAGTCTCCTCTGCACCCTGGCCACCACTTTCCATCCCATTTCTCTTTAATTTTCTTTATAGAACTTATCACTCTCTAAGTCATATTTTTCTATTTACTGGTTTATCTTCTCACAGCCTCTCTCCCCTTACGTGACACTAGAATAGAAGCTCCCTGAGGGCAGAGAACTGTTTCTATGGTTTGCTGCTATATTTTTGGTTCTCAGGACACTTCCCAGCACATAGCAAATGACTAAAAATATTTGTTGGCTGTTTTTTTAAATTACTTTTTATTGGAGTAGAGTTGATCTACAATGTTGTGTTAGTTTCAGGTGTACAGAAAAGTGAATCACTTACACATATACGTATATCCACTCTTTTTTAGATTCTCTTCCCATATAGGTCATTACAGAGTATTGAATAGAGTTCCCTGTGCTATAGGGTAGGTTCTTATTAGTTATCTATCTTATATACAGTAGTGTGTATATGTCAATCCCAATCTCCCAGTTTATCCCTCCCCCAACCTTTCTCCCTTTGGTAACCATAAGTTTGTTTTCTACATCTGTGACTCTATTTCTCCTTTGCAAATAGGTCCATTTGCACCATTTTTTAAAATTCCACATACAATGCTAACACACATATATGGAATTTAAGAAAAAAAAATGTCATGAAGAACCTAGGGGTAAGACAGGAATAAAGACACAGACCTACTAGAGAACGGACTTGAGGATATGGGGAGGGGGAAGGGTGAGCTGTGACAAAGCGAGAGAGAGGCATGGACATATATACACTACCAAACGTAAGGTAGATAGCTAGTGGGAAGCAGCCGCATAGCACAGGGAGATCAGCTGGGTGCTTTGTGACCGCCTGGAGGGGTGGGATAGGGAGGGTGGGAGGGAGGGAGACGCAAGAGGGAAGAGATATGGGAACATATGTGTAGGTATAGCTGATTCACTTTGTTATAAGGCAGAAACTAACACGCCATTGTAAAGCAATTATACCCCAATAAAGATGTTGAAAACAAATTCCACATACAAGCAGTATCATATTTGTTGACTGTTGAGGGAATGAATTTGGTTTAGCCAGTGCTGGCAGACTGCATGGGACCTATTCAATGGGGGAATCCTAGTGTGCCTGGTGGTTTTTTTCAAGTTTCAAGAGATAAACCGTAGGTAAGAAGCTCTGTCTTTTCCTCATATTTTCAAAAGAACTGGCCACAATCACCTCATACGTTGATGATTATGAAGGAGACATTTAAGCACTTGGATTCTTATGCCCTAGAATCCAGGGTAAAAAGACAGCGATAGTAACCACCAAAGTCCCTCTAGTCTCTCAGGTCAGCTGTGAGTGTAAATGAGACAAAGGTTTGCTGCTTCGTTTCTAGCTTATCACCCAGGAAGTGGCCAATGGAGGTTGGTGTCCATGTATACAGTCTATATGGTACCAGTGAAAGAAGAAAAGAAGGGAAATATAGGCATGCACCCTAGATTTCCAAAAAGAAATAGCATTTCTTACCTACACACAGTCTCTCCTACTGTGAATTTTGTGGTTAACAACCCACACATTTCAACATACTTGGCCTTGTTAGTGCTCTTCTAACATTTGTCTTCCCTTTGCAGACAGTATAGTTATTGACGAATGAAATTAGCTCCAAGTTACAATGATGGGCATTCAATTTTGTTCAATTAGAGGTTCACAGGGAATTTACATGTGCACATTTCAAAGTTGTCCAATATTCAGGGGCTTGTAAAGAGCACAGAGCTCCGTTTAGATTGACGTCAAGAAACAGTCTTAGGTCTATGACAGAGTTATTTTTCTCACTTGCCATGATGGAGCCTAGCTTTTAAGAGACCACCTACATAAGCACTTTGGTACAAATTTCAATGCTTTCTTGAAAGTATGTGATCAGAGACATGGCGGTAAGGCGTAGTAACTTTATCGGGTGGTTATTTTCAGGTTATCAGACTCCTGAATCATGCAAGTCTAAAAGGAATTTCAATTTGTGGAGATTTCAGTAAAGAGATAACATTCAGAAACATCTGCTTCAGTAAGTCAACTCTCCCGAATTTAGAAAACCCAAATAATTAATCTGAGGGCTGAATTCTATCTTCACATATTTTTTATTGCAAATGTAAATTAAATATACCACTTGAGAGATTACAAAGAAGGCAACTTGGCCCAGAGAAAGGTGCTGCGTTAAGTCAACATTCTTTCTCAGACTGAAACTTGGTCCGTGTTCCTGAGTAAAGCGCCGAGGACGACAGACGTCATTGTGAGATTTCCTAAAATCAGGAGATTTCTGCATGATACCTTCCCCCAAAGGGAATAATGGTTGGCCTCAGAGCCAGATTTTTCGAGGATGACTTTTGCCCACACATCATAAAAATGCAACCCCATCTTCTTACTTGCCTTAAGTACCTTTCTGGTCGGATTCACGGCTTTGTTTTCAATACACTGCTTTCCTGACTGCTTCTTTGAGCGAGCTACACCATACACCATGGTGCAATACACCATGCTATCAGTATAGTGATCAGTATCAATACACCGATAGCACGGAAGGGAAGAAGAAACGTGGGGAGAGCAAAGATGGAAAACCTAGTCCAAGGGGGCACTTGTCGGGTAGCTCTTGGGGACAGCTGCTCATAAGATTGTACCACCAACAAGCATATTTGAAAGCAGCGATGTGATCGCTCATGAAGCTAGCCCAGGAGCATAATCTTCCCATCTAACATCTGAGAGTGATGGGTAGGAGGCAAGAAATGGTTTCTATCAATAAGGAACGGGCAGCCCACACATTAAAATCACTTTTCAAAACACACATGTCCTGCATATTGCAAGAGTTTTAAGACACAGAAGAAAATCATTTTTAAGCTTATCCTGTTTCTGTTAAAAGATCAAAGGGTGTAGAAAACTGTACATGAAAGACACAACTTTTTGTTATATAGATAGATGTATAAGGCTAAATATGTATGTGTTTATACTCATTATGTAGATATACATACACCTAAGACTAAAGTAAAATAGTGTGTACTCTGTATATATGTATGTATATATATAGTATACATTTATCTACACTTATCTTTATCTTTCATTCTATCTATCTATCTATCTATCTAATATCCTAGATAACATCTTAAGTCTTGGAAGTAGTAAAGTTGTTTTATTTTTATTTTTTAAGATTTACAGCAGTGGTTCTCAACCAAGGGCAATCTGGCAATGTCTGGAAACAGTTTTGGTTGCTATAATTAGCAGGGAGGGGGCTACTGGTATCTAGTGGGTAGGGGCCAAAGACGCTACTAAACACCCCACAACGTATAGGACATTCCCTCTCCCAGGAAAGAATTATCTGACCCCAAATATCAACAGAGCCAAGGTTCAGAAAACCTGATAGAACCTATAAATTGGGCAGGCATACCAATGAACTCTTAAGATGTCTTAGGTCTGTGACCGAGTTTATCTGGGGGAACATATCAGATACCAGCAGCTTAAAAAAGGACATTCTTCCCACCTGACCTTTCTAAGGAATCAGTCAACACATTCCAGTGTTTTCATTGCCACGTCATAAAAGATATGCTTGTATATTTCATTTCCTGGATGAGTGAAAATGAGCAAGTTGCCATTTGCCTCAATAATTTCCAGAGGATCTCAGTAACTAGGACATTATACCCTGAGTCTGAGGAAAAATCGGCAAACGTTTCAGGAAATTTCCCTTCTTTGGCAGAACTGAAAGGCCACAAACAAATTCACTTTCAAATGGATATTTAAGGGCATTTTATGAGTCTTTTCGATGTCTCTCCAAGTCTTGCTGGAGTTGCTGTGTTGAAAAGCTGTAAATTTTAGTTGCAATAAAATAGACATTACTTTTAATTGTTTCCTCTCAGCATTTTCACATATATGTAGATTTTTCTTTTAAAAAAAAAGCAGCTTGGAAAATCAGCATTTACAGTTCCAAACAGCTTTCATACTGTCATCAGTCTATATTCTAAGGTGTTTCTGCATTGAAAGAAGATACATTACTGGAGAAATATGAGGAAAGAAAAACTAAAAACTACCAGATGTTCTCAAAACCTCGGAACAGATCATTTGTATCCTTTGTAGCTTCACTGCTTCCAGGTATGATTATCCATGTGGAAGATCAGACCAGAAGAGCTAGTCTCCAGCACTGAAGGTCAGCGTTAACCTCACCACCTCCAGGGTAACTGAACACTGAGGCGCCACAAAGAACAGTTCTAGGAACTCATGCAATTTGATTTGCTTTTCCAAAATTAAAATTTGGATAATTAAAAAATATATAAACAGAACGTACCAATCCCTATAAATTATCATTAAAAAACTGAAAACTGGGGCTACTTGACTCTAGCTGGGGAGGTGGAACTTTTCATCAGAATCCAAATTTTGCTGCGCACGATGCTTTGTAAATGGACAGTCCTCTGCTGGGCTGATTCTTTCTGACAGTTCTCTCGGCTCCTTTTGGTACTCTACCCATCCGTGGTACATGTGAATTTGTACTTGATGTTAATGATCTCACTGCACTTTTTATGTGATTGGCTCTGTACCAAGAGAAACAGTATGAATGCTCCATCATCAGCCCCTACAGTCACAAGGGCAGTGTTGAAGTAAGAATTCAATTGTAAATACGAGGCAAGAAATTTCACTGCCAAGAGGGGCTGGAAACTGGAGGAATGCAGGGCTGCAAAGCGAGAAGGCCTGGTATCATGTCTTCTCTGCGTTCATTAAACAAGCGAACTGCTAGAAGGAAATGTCATGAAATAAACAAACACAGTACACAAATAATTGCTTATTTCTTTGACATCCTCCCTTCTTTCTCTACCTATGTTTTATGATTAAAAGGGATACTTTGTTTCTACTCTCAAACAGGTTAACACTTACCTTGACAAGTCCTTTGTACGATTCCTGGAGGATAACAGTAGTTACTGAACGTATGAGTGCATGGAGAAAACTGTGACCCACAAATGAGTACCTTCTGGTGACTGACATTAACAAATTAAATATAAACCCAACCCATACAGATACCAAGGTCAAGTGGAAGACAACCCTGGTGACCCCACCAGATACTCTGGTTCCCAACATCTCTTTCATTTCTGGTAAAAATTTATTAACAGAAATTTTTCAGAAATTAAGAAATGAGAAAACAGATGTTTGGAGAGATTCAGAAATCTCTGGAAGATGAAGCTGTTAATGATTTGTACCCAGGTTTGCTTTATTCCAAAGTCTTTTCTCTTCTTTCTACATCGCAACCTCTGCCTCGTAAAACTGTAAGGGGAACACACTAACTCCTGGATGCACTGTTCTGGCAAAGGCACCCACCTGCACTCACAGAGCATCCAATTATTTGGCCGTCTCCTTGGATGTTAGAAGCCTGCTCTTTCTTTGTCCACTCCACAGTATTTGTGTCTGCACCATGAAAATATTACAAAATGTTCTCCCTTTTGTGAAAATTTTGAGCATTTCAACACCTAAACTTTATCTAATTGTAGATGGGTTGACAGCATAGGATTACAAAATATTAAGAAGAAAACGAATTTCTTTGGGTTTACTCATTATTTTTCTGTAAAATTGCTCTTTTAGGAAAAGAAGTCTAGTTAAAAAAAAAAACCTGGTCATTCTTTGAGGGCTCCCCATTATACATTTGGTGCTTGTTCTTTACCAAGAAATATCCATTAGGGCAATATAAATGGGACTAAATGTCCTCTATGAAAAGATTCTGGAGACAATATCACTGCTCCCTCAGGTTCATATCTTTAAAGACAATAGCTTACGCCATTTGAAGCAAAACTTCTTGTGAAAATGTTTCATTTTGTTGTCTTCCAAATGCTCAAGAGGTAAAGATGATCATCAAAAACAAGGTCGAGCCCATCAATGCATATAGCCATGGCTTAAAATTCTAACCAAAACACATTTTATCACATTGGATAAGCTAATATTAATCTCATAAATATTCTTGATCGAAATCTAAATAAAAATAAAAAGGCTTCTAGAAAAAATCCACCCAGCATCAATAGCTCTTCTAAAACATTTTTAATTTTTTCCATCTGGTCACTTCCAAGAAAAACTATTCAGTACTTCCAAGTACTGAAGAATCAAACTAGGTAAGTCCTACTCACAGAATTTCAGAAAGGCCACCAGAGGGAATAACAAATGCTCTTAAATTTCAAAGACACAAGTTTTTCTCCACCAACTCTGGCACATTTCATGACCTTATTCTGAGGTCATACAAGTAGATGGTCCACCAGAAAGCATGAGCACAATGGCTATGCAATGTCTCTAGCTTTTCATGACAAAATTGTCCCGAGTCAGCCTAATGTCATTAAAAAAGACTAGTATTTTTGTATGGTTATTTGTCAATCACATCTACACTCACTCTGGCACCTTGACAAGAACCAATGCCCAAGCCGTAAATTATTTCCCTTCTCATCCATATATTTTAGAGAATTAAAGGCATTGATTTTACAAGGAGAAAAAATGCTTCTCGTTGATTCTCTGTGGGGAATAAACAAGCAAGAAGAAATGCTCTTCCGAATGCATAATGGAATTTCCTATCTCTGACACTGTCTCTCACTCCCCTCCACCCATACATGCAACCGATGTCATTGCTGTCACATCTAGCAGGGTATCAGGCGGAGGTGAAGCCAAAGGACTCTTTCCTCTACAACCAGGGGAATCACCATAATTTCCAGTCTAGTACAGTTTCCAGTTTAGCTACAATTACTGAGGGTGAACATTACTCCTGGGGTTTCATAGGAAGGTAGATAACTGTGGGGTTCAAGGCAGTCATCCCAGGTGTTACTAAGCTCACCCCTTTCTCTGACTCTTTTCTAACGCCTTGTTTTTAGTAACTTTCATCAGGTCAAATTCATAGGCTGTACCTTGACCTTCCAGGGAACACAGGCCACCTGAAAACACAGCTAAAGGATTATAATCCCCTGACTTGGGTGTGCTCCCAGAGTCAAGTAAAACGTTAGACTTACCGTTGGCAATCCATATTGCAGGCTATGGTCCCACTTGCCCAGGTCTCCACGGTGTCCTTTTCTTCGTGCAGACGCATCACTCTCCCACATCTTGGTTGGGAGAAGAAGTAGAAACCTGACAATCCCTAGCAGAAATCCACAGTGCAGGAAGGAATACAACAGGTAGTCAGATGTCCCAAATGGCTGAGTTCCACTGCTCTTCAGAGGCATTGATAAAGGAACAAATTTGTCACAGAAACACCCGTGACCCCAAACAATCTGTTTTTGAGGCATGAAGGGGCCAACTGACCAACTGACTCCAACCTAGGGAGCTGCTGAAATGGTACTATGCTATTATAAACTAATTTAAAAGGGTCCCAGGAACTGACGCATGCACACCTGGTACCCAAACCCAAAGATTCAATCTAGGATCAGAGGATCTGGAATGAAAAAATTCGGTGTGGGCTTCGGACTTGTCACCCTGTCTACCCTCTTACTTCTGTCCCTCTGATTATTAAACTTGTCCTTGGTGGACTCTTCCAAGAGTCACCTAAATTTGGTCAGGAACAGAGCCACAGGGATAACAGTCAAAACTGAACGCTCAGTACATACTGACTTAAGTGAGACTATTTTGGCTAAAAGACTTTCCCCCAAGTGGTATTTTTAAAAAAGATAATAGGGGGCTTCCCTGGTGGCGCAGTGGTTGAGAGTCCGCCTGCCGATGCAGGGGACGTGGGTTCGTGCCCCGGTCCGGGAGGATCCCACATGCCGTGGAGCGGCTGGGCCCGTGAGCCATGGCCGCCGGCCCTGCGCGTCCGGAGCCTGTGCTCCGCAACGGGAGAGGCCACAACAGTGAGAGGCCCGCGTACCGCAAAACAAAAAAAGATAATAGACTTGATTTTTTACAGTAGTTCTAGGTTCTCAGCAAAATTGAGAGGAAAGCACAGAAAGTTCCCACACCCTCTCTCCTCACAGAGGCACAGCTTCCCTGTGTCACCAGCCCCCGCCAGAGCAGAATATTTGTTACAGTTAGTGAACCTATGTTGACACATCATTATCACTTGAAGTCCATAGTTTACATTAGGGTTCACTCTTGGTGTTGTACATTTTATTAGTTTTGACAAATGTGTAGTGACGTGTATCCACCACTGTAGTATCATACAGAGTACATTCCATGTCCTACTATCTTGGTTAAATTTTTATTGATTCATTCAGTTAGTCATTTTTATTCGAGTCTCTTTCCTCTATGCCTTGAACCCTGTGCTAGACCCTGGGAATCTTCAAAACAATCATTAAAACAAATCAACAGCCTTTTCTTTAGCTTATCTCTCCCTTCTTGCATCTTACTGAAAGCAGAAAGAAGAAACCAAGCGGCACTCTCAACACCCGGGCTAGAAACATTCTTGGCTAGATCATCCAGAAACTGAGATCATGAGTGTTTGTTTTTTTAGGATGCTAAGTTTTGTAGTAATTTATCACAGAGCAATATATAACTAACATATATATTAATATCAAGAGTGGAGCACTGCCAAAATACGAACCCAAAATTTGGGGGTGGCTTTGGAACTAGGCAGTGGGCTTTGAGAAAAGTGTTAGGAACAGCCTGAGGGCCTGGAAGAAATTGCCGATAGAAGCCTGTGGTCATTCATCAAGCTCCAGGTGAAGGCTGGCAGGCAAAGAAGTAAACGTTATTGCAAACTGGAAGAAGAGGGATCTTTGTTACATTGTGGCAGAAAGCTGAGTAACGCCACTGAGTGGAAAGTAGAAAATGTGTGTATCAGTGAACTGGGTGATCCATAAAGATGTATATATTATATACACCCCTATTCCTTTAAATAAAAAGTAGACATATTAATCGTTGTTGCTGTTACATTGTGGAAGGAATCTTTAAGTCTAACAGGAAGACAAAAGGACAGCTTCTGTGGTGTATCTTCTTATTCTTCAAAATACTTACTAGCTGACATTCAGGTGTCTGTCTCGGAAGAACAGCTTTTCGCCTCCATCCTACTGTGCTCTGAAGTGGACACGTGACTTGCTTTAGCCAATAAAGTGAGTGGAAGCGGCATGGGCCACTCCCAAGCAGAAGTTTTAAGAGCCAGCGCATGCTACATTTTTATTTATCCTACGGTGAAATGTCTCATTTTATAAGAGCTACTCTATCAGACTGAATCCTGGAAGGAAGCGATCCAAAGCCAGCCAGCAATTAACATATATTTGAACAAGAAAGCAAGCTTTGTGGTTAGAAGCCTCTGTCATTTGTTACTGCTCTATACATTACCCTTGCCTGACTGGTACAGCTTCAGACAAGTGCTGCAGTTGAAGGATGACGAGGATTCTGACCCATGGACCAGGGGGAGAGGATAGACGCTAGGGCAGGTGCAGGGGCCTGGAGCATGTGAGAGATCGCAGGAAGAGTATGCATGTCTAAAACGTAATATGGGAATTGGTTCAGGAAAGGGATGAGGAGAAAGGAAGAAATTAGATGGACAGGGTCATTTATTCCACGTTAAGAAAGTCTGCCCCCCTGTCAAGATGGAGAGTTCATTGAATTATAAGGGGAGGAATAATATGTCCAAATTTTATGTTAAAAAGTTAACAATGACAGTCTTGTAGAAGGTACAGGTAAAGTGCCTGAAACACAGGGAGGGAATCCACTGTAATAGTTTAAGGAAAGTATGTTACACACATGGAATGGAGAACACTGGAGGGGTATGAGAAACACTAAAGAGAAAAAAAGTGAGAGAATTTAGCAATGAGGTTGATGTGATTATGGCATCGTTATAGGAACATGAAGTACAATATATGTATTGCTCGTGTTAGATTAGATTGTTAGTCAGGGACAGTCCGTCTCTTCTTCCCCACTTTCTGTGGGAGGAGTATATTTCTCCAACACATGAACATGTGACCTACAATGATGGGGGCATGGAAAGGATAGTGTGCAAGTTCCAAGTCTGGGCCTTGAGAAGCTTCGTTTGCTTTTCTTCATCCTCTTCGGGATCATCCCTCCCCCTTCATGAGCACATTCCCCATCTAGTCTCCTGGTTCCTGGTCCCTGAGGACAAACCTGCAACAAAGCTGATCTGAATCTGTGGCTGGAGCCCAAGTCCAGCTGATCCCAGCCACGACCAGAGAAGTCCTGCCCCCCTTCTGCCAGGCAGACACATAAGTGAGACACCGTGTGCCACTGAGTTCTTATTGTTGTTTTCTAGCCAAAGTTGATTGATATACCACTGGACTCAAATTTCAATGAGCTACTAACCTCAACTCCACGTTCCTTTTATGACTTTTAAAAAACTTTTCGCCACGCTGGGTCTTCGTTGCCGTGCACGGGGTTTTCTCTAGTTGTGGCGAGCGGGGGCTACTCTTCGTTGCGGTGCGTGGGCCTGTCATTGCGGTGGCTTCTCTTGTTGCGGAGCACGGGCTCTAGGCACGCGGGCTCAGTAGTCGTGGCTCGCGGGCTCTAGAGCGCAGGCTCAGTAGTTGTGGTGCACGGGCTTAGCTGCTCTGCGGCACGTGGGATCTTCCTGGACCAGGGCTCGAACCCGTGTCCCCTGCATTGACAAGCAGATTCTTAACCACTGCGCCACCAGGGAAGTCCCCCAGTTCCTTCTAAAAATAATTGACTACAAGGTCCCAGCCAAACTTTACCATTTTTTCTTTAAATAATAAAAGGTCAAAGGAAGATAATTCTTAAATGTTCTGTTGGATATGTTTCTATTTGGGGGGTTACTTTTAATCATTTATCCCGGTATAACCATGAAACGGGACATGCAGTTGTAATTATTTAAATTTCCCCTCAAGTATGAGAATACAGATTTTTTTATTTTTGATTGAGCAAGTTGACTAGTTCTCACTTAGAAGCAACAACATAAAGCCACGTAAAAAGTAAATATGCAAAAGTTAATTTTACTTAGACTTGAGAGATTAGTTTAGGTTAATCAGATATTTCTGGGAAACGGTCAAGGTCCTAGTCATAAATCCATTCAACAAAGACCTTTAAAATTTTCAACCTTTTCATCCTTTTTAAACGCTATGGTTGGCTCTCTTCTTAGTTTGAAATAATGCATGTAATGTTTTTACAAGTGCAAATAGCAGTAAATGAAAGAGTGATAATGCATTAGGAAGGGAGTTTATTTGCAAACCTTCAGAAGCGGTTTACTTTAATACCCAAGGTATATGCATATTATAGTTCTGATAATGAGGGCATACAGTAAACTGTAATAAAAGTCATTGAAAGGTTTGCCAAGATATATTCTCTTGTTTGAATTAAACCTACTCTAGGAGACTGTAATTTTCCCTCTTCCATCAGAAGATATTAGCCTTGGTTTATTTCTGAAATATTTTATTTGGGTTGTATCATGTGACATAAATGGACTGGGAAGAAGCAAGGTGAGCCACTGTAGCATATATCTGAAGTCTAAGGGAGTGATACCGAGGGGATGCAAAGATGGCTAGAGAACACCAATGACTGGGATGTGTTTTTTTAGACTGTTTCACACAATCTGTTGGGAAACAGATTTGTCCATGAAATGTGAGGAAGCCTCAGCTTGGTGCAGCCTCCCGTTTAGGAGTCGTCCTCCGACTCTGTGGCCTGTGGCATCACCAGGATATTGACCTCCTGATAACTCGGTTTCTTTGAGTCTGTTTTTAATTATGGAAGTAATATAACATTGTTAAAGGAAGATTATAAACAGGGTAAAAGAAATATTACTATTTTAACCTCATTCCTATTTTTCATTTTTGTATGTCTTTCCCAAGCTTTTTGAGTAATTACTAAGTTCCCAGTAAGACTTTCTCTGCCTCAGCTCACGTAAGTCTCATGACAACAATAGCAAGTATGATCCTTCTTTTAGAGAGAAGAGCTGGAGGTTTTAAATAACTTCCCCAAGGCTATCAAACCACCAAGTCACAGAGGAGTGAGTAGAAAACTAAGTGTTTGACTTCCTAGCCCAAGCTTCTTAATAAGTATCTTACAGAGCTGTAAACGTAGCGTGAAGACAGTTTTGTATCTTGCTTTTCCCACTTAATGTTGAACTGTATTTTCCCACATGACAGCGCAGTCTGTTACTGTTATTTTAGTAGCATGGTCTCCCTTAATAGAGATACGTCCTAACTTCCTGAGCCATTCTCCTATCATAGGACTCTGGATTACTTCCAAATTACCATTTTGGAATTTTACAGTTTTATAATTAATACTACAAAAACGATCTTAATGCATACTATGCTCTTAAATTCACGGGGTCTTTTCCACCCCATGGTCTACAACGTTTAGAAAATTTTGAAGATTTTTTTTTATATGTGTAAAGTCTAAATGGGATTTGTACCATTGTTTCAATTTTGGCTGGGATTTCAAAGCTGAGAAGTTATGTGACGAATGCCCCTACCTCCTAGAGAGAGACGCCTGGTCGTTTACGTGTGACCTGCAAAGGAGGCTGCCAAAACCAGGTTCAGCCCCACTTAGCCTATCGCCTACCTTCCATTATAGAACAAAAGCTAAGAGTGCATTAGGAAGATGGATAAATAATGTTTTAGAACAACTGTCAGTAAACCCCACGCTTTTCTTCCCCTCCACTATGCTTTGTTAACCAACCTCAGGTCCAGTGAGAAAACTTTGATCTTGACATGTGAGGAATTTGGAAAACAAAGAGGCTGGCTCTCGCCTGAAAAACTTTGAAGGCAAGAGGTTGGATGGAAGGAATCCGCATGGCTGAACACAGAGAAAAAACTGGATCAGGGTGGACCCTACAGAGGGCAGGGAGGCAGGCGCCACCTGGAGAGGATCTCACCATGTGGTTTCCTACAAGGGCTGAGGGCCCGCGGGAGTAAAAGGTGAGGCAGAGCTCAGCACCGGAAGCGGAAGTAGATGGACGTTCTGCACAGGCACACGTCGGGCGTCGCTCAGGTCAGCGCACAGCGTCGGCGGTAGTCTTCGAAGAATCCATAGACACCCTGAGGCAGAAAGACGGCATTTAAGTACCTGTCTCCATCATCGGACTCTGGACCCAGATTACACACTGCACCAAGTGATAGATAATTTTTGAGCCCTGAGTCCTCCTCTCGGACTCCTTATCGCCAAGGGGGAGCCAAGAAGCAACACAGTAAGGGAGGAGGAATGAAAGAACAAGGCGGAAAAACGACGGAGTATCCACCTTCCCACTAGAGGGTTACCAGTTCCAAGCTAGAAGTCCAGAGAAGAGGCCTGAAACGGCGCTATGCAATGAAGGGTCGGTGCTGTGTTTTGCTTCTTAGCCTCAAACTGGACTCTGCGCACCTGAGAATGAGTCTACAGAGGTTTTCGTCCACAGGCAAAGAAGGAAGATCCAACACACAGTTTGGACAGGCTACTGTGGAAGAAAGAATAGAATTATTTCACAGTTTCACACCTCTGAACCCAGCTCATTCAATCAACAAGTACGTGAAATTTCAAGTTGCATTTTCCAAAACATTTTTACCGGTTTACAAACATCATCAGGGATGAAGGAAAATCAGTTCCATGATGTTTTGCTCCCTTTAAAGTTCTGTTTTGAGGTTTATTATAATTTAATAGGTGAAATGTAATCTCAATTTAATGATAATTTTTAAATTACTAGCATAAACATTTTTATTTGCGTATCTATTATTTATATTTGCTCACTTATAAATTAGCTGTAACATTGGACAGTATATCTATTAGTTAATTATTTTGTTATAAATTTGCATGTGGCATTAAGAAGAGAGACGAACTCTTTCCCCTGTTTTGTACTCTGTAGTTTGCCTTTCAATGAAAAATATTTTTTTTTAAGTATGAAATTTTTAAAATGTCGTGAAACTCCAACTGTCAACGTTTTCCTTTCAATTTCTCCTCTGGAAATTTGGGGAAAAAAAAGTCTATCTTTTCTTTATTCTTTGTTGCGGGATTTCTAATGTTTAAATGTTTGACTGTTTCTCCCATCTGGAGCTCGTTTGTATACGGCTCAGAATCTGATAAGCGTGAGTTAAGTATAACAAGTTGGCTGGGAAAAACATGTTGTTTGTATGGATATATCACTTTCAGCAATATTCGTATTCCAGTTTAAAGCACAACAAATGTTCTCACTCTCCAGTAAAGGCTGAAGAGACTTTCATAATAAATTTTCCTTACAAAAAGAATCCAGAGTCTCTCCCTTTATAAACATCAAGCTGCCTGAGCTTAGCTCTCTTTTTTTCTCTGCCACAGCTCCCTCCCTATCAGAATTTACACACCATCCACTGTCAGGGATGCAAACTGTTCTACAGTTTGTTAATATCCAAGAAAGGCCATCACCTCTGAATCATTTTTTCCCCAAACATAAATCCTTGGGCCAACAAAGAAAAGTGGTATTTTTCCATCTCCATAATTCCTGTTATTTTAAGTCTATCCTTCAACCAGAGTGGCTTTGTATTTCTTTTTCCTTGATAACTCATAGGTTCAAATGTAAAAAATTATTATTACAAGGAACAATTACGAGGTTCAAAGCATACTGTGTGCATTCCATGCTTCTAGTTTCTGGTACTGATATACGGAACGGAATACTTGTGGTTGTCTATTCGCATGAAGTGGATGGGTTCCAGCCACTGGTGGTGAGAGGCTTAATGAAAGTCTGGCTTCATCAGACCCAGCAGGGACCTAACCATCATGGGAGGTGGCCCAAGTGCCCTACTGGAGGCATCTCAGAAACAAACTTTCGACCATTAACTTATTCAGTCCAAATGGCAACCACAAAAGGGGGGGCGGGAATGGCTTTGCTGATTTTCTTAGCTTGAACATTATTCTAGATTTTAAGATTTCAATATCTCTTTCCTAAACATTGAACTAGAAAAACCTCTGACCTTTTAAAATACTTTTCATTTTTACTTTTTCAGTTTGGCGTGTTTAGTATTTTGATAACCCCCTCCTCACAAGCTTTCTTATTTAATGAGATAGTACACTTACATAGCAAAGCAAAAAACAAAAACAGGACATCATTAATTACTGTTGACTTTGTTCTCACCACCCCTATTTACCTCTCTATAAGACCAGGACGTAACAGTTCCTTTTTTTGTGCTTCTATAGCACATATATAGTTTTTTAAACCATTTTTTATTGAAGTATATAGTTAATTTACAATGTTGTGCTGGTTTCAGGTGTACAGCAAAGTGATTCAGTTATAGAGAGATAGACAGACTCTTTTTTAGATTCTTCTCCATTACACGTTTTTACAAGATATTGAATATAGTGCCCTGAGCTATACAGTAGGTCCTTGTTGTTTATCCATTTTATATATACTAGGGTGTATATATTAACCCCAAACATATATAGTTTTATTATAGAAAAAACGAGTTGTATTTTAAGTCAGTTGTGTACACGTTTGCCTCCTCTGGAATACTGAGAGCTTTTTGAGGACAAGAATGTATCCTCTTGATCTCCATTAGTCTAGCACTTAACACGATGTCCGATTACCAGATATCATCGAAAATGTATCAATAACACATATAATAACATAATGATATATTCGTGTAAATAAATGACTTCTGATCTACAGTGCTTTGAACACCTCGAGATTGCAAAATGACTTGCAGATGAATATTATTCTATCAACAGCGCTTTTGCCGCTAAATATTCAATAACTATCAACGACAGTTCATAGGACCCTGGTCAACACGGTATAACAAAGTGCAGCTGGCTTTTGGAGCACAGTATACTCAATTCTGCGTCCTCTGGTGTGACAGAGACTGCACATATGCACCAAATTCCATTACCTTTTCCCACTGGAAACACAGTGACAATATGCATCCTATCACCCTTTGCAACTAGATGTAGCCATATGACTTAATCCTGGACAACAGAATGTGGGCAAAAGTGATGTCCACTTCTGACTCAGTTTGTAACAAAATTGTACGAGTGATCCTTGCTCTGTCTGTTCCTGAAAGGTGAAGGATCTGTGAACCTATAATAAGACAGAACTACAGATATGGAAGGAACTTGAGTCCTTGAATGACCACATATAAAGTTGCTTGATCGGAATTAGCCTCTATGGACCATGATATGAGCTAGAACTAAATCATCAGTATGCTAAAGCTTCTGTTATAATACCTTAACTTATTTAGAAACTGGTATTTGGAAGCTGGGTGCTAACACAGCACAAACTTAAAATTTGTGGCACTGGCTTTTTAGTCAGCAAGTAGTAGAGAAACTGACATAGGCGGCTAGAAAGGTGGAGGTCTAGTCCATGGTTTTCCACATCAAAATACATAACAGAACTGTTGAGCACGGTAAATAGGAAGCCAGCCTAGACCTCATGTAACAATTAAGCCTGTAGCTCTTACACAAGATGTTGATAAGAATGAGATTAACAGTGTCTTTTTGCTACTGCTGGCTACTCTTAGCAATATACAACAAGAGATGAACACAGACAAAACCCAGCTTGTTTTGAAGCAGAAATCAAGGTGTATATAGCATCCAGAGATCAGTAACTTTTAGGCTTCGAAAATCTCCTTCGGAACCCCAGGTAATAGAGACAAATTGCAAAAGGCTCTGAATGACAAAATATAGTAAGATTCTTAGCAAAACTCAAAGCAGAACAAAAGCGCACACAACCATAAGATAAAGATCAGATGAAAGGGGCGGTCTTCAAACATGTAGTTTCTGACGCTTTGAGGAGGATGAGACTGGCTTGGAGGAAGCAAATGAGAAAACCAGATGAGAACTATTGCTGTGAAAGAAACTTCAAACGCAGTTACTGGCACATGGAACTACCTAGAAATAAAAAGATTATAAAGCATGCTAATTTTGGAGACGATTATATCATTAAGGATACGATGAGCTTTGGTCTAAAAGACTGACTTCATAAGCTTTAAGGTTACTGCTGGGTCCCCTGACTTCACCAGGGCCAAGTACAGTCCCCAGTACCCACTTTATTAAGGCCATGGTGAGTGGTGGACACAGAAGCACCTCCCAGAGGCCTGAGGCCGGAGCCATGGAGAGCACTAGAGAGGGAGGTTCTAGAGAGCATAATTCAGGATGAAATGAAAAACTTGCCCTACCCGAAGAGTAGGGTCCTCCGTAACATCTGTCCAGAAGAATTTCAAAATTGTTGTGAAGCAGGAACAGCTGTGTGTCTTTCATTCTTTCCTTTTCCAAACAAGAGGTTAAAAGCATATTTTCCTATCTATATATCACCATTGGATATTGTGTGTGCATGTGCGTGTGTGTGTGTACATAGGGTTTGTAGGTTCAAGGAACCTTCTTCAGTCCTGATTTAGAGGTCTGAACATCACTCAGAGATCTGGGATTTGAACTTGAGGCAATGACTGGGGGTGACCTTGGGTTTTCTACCTTCTGGAAGGACAGGTGTGCTCCAGGTGTAGTAGGAGGATGAAACAGATGTTTGGGGGCCAGGAACAGACCGGGCAGAGGCTGACTAGCTCTTCCTCGAGTGCATTTCCTTTCTTTCCCAAGCACATGGATAGGCTCCATTTCCCGACTTCCATTGTTCTTAGGTGTGGCTACTACAAACCAGGGTTCTTGGCCTCCTTAATCGATGGAAATTGATCAGGGGACAGTCCAGAAGTTCAGGCAAGGCTTTATTGGGGCCCCTGCTGCAGCAGGGGGGGAGAGAAAACAAGTAACAGGCCCCTTGCTTGCTCCCCGAAGTGGGGGCGAGGGATCCTTGTATGGGGTGAGGGTAGGCGCGGGTCCAGGGGTCGGGCAGGAGTGGTGGCTGAAGTGGGCTGCCCACCCCTTGGTGGTGTTGAGTGCACAGGGCCTGCACAGGACTCTGTCGCTCCCGGCTCCTCAGAAGTGGCAGTTGGGTTTTTGGTCTTTTTGTATCTTATTGTTCATAATTTGCCCCAATTGTGCATGTGTGCAGCTATTTTTAGTCCCTTATAGTTTCTCTGTATTTTATTGCTCAAAGAGACGTTTGTCCAGGTGCAAGCACTGTGACAAAGGGTCCCAGGTCCCAGGCCCCAGGCTGTCTCATAGCCACATAATTGAGTACTGCCCAGGGAATATGGGAGGAAATAACCTTCACTATTTCCAGGCCTGATCCATAAAATGACACATACGAGAGCCCTCCTCTCTTTCTGCACATGGTAACTGAATGGAGAAAACCATGAAGCCCCGTTGGAAGGCAGACCCAGATGCTGGAAGGAACCTGGGGTCCCTGAACACAGTCCCCAGGAAGGCTGTCCCGGCAAAGACACCCGATGAGGGGCACGAATAAACTTTTATTTATGTAAGGCTTTGAGATTAGCTTTGTTTTGTTTTGTTTGTTATAGCCTGTGGTAGGCAGAATGATGATGCTTTCCAAAGGTACCCGCCCCCTAACTCCCTGGAACCTGTGAATAGCTTAGGGTATGTGACGGA